TAATAGATAAGCATCTCAATAAGTTCACTGCAAATCTCGATTTTTGGAAGTGTGTTTTTAAAACATATGTCGTCCCACATTTAATAAATATTGTAGATACTTTAAACACACTTGAAACGTGTAAAATTTTTCTACGAATTATATTATATATATATATATATATATATATATATATATATATATATATATATATATATATATGATTACAAGATGATGTTGTGACCAGGATTAAGAAAGGAATGCTTCGGTGGTTTGGTCATGTGGAAAGAATGAATGAGGAAAGAGTGACAAAGAAAATTTATGTTGCAGAAGTGAATGGCAGAGTCGGAAAGGGACGTCCTAGGCGAAAATTTATCGACCAAATTGGCGATTTATTGAAAACGGGCCAAATTAGGAGTACCCTTAACCGACGAGCATGTATGCGGAGGTGTATGGATGTGAAGGAGGCGAGAGAGGTGTGTCAGGATCGTGCCAAATGGAAGTCTGTAGTCTCTGCCTACCCCTCTGGGTGACAGGCGTGAGTGTTTATGTATTTATATATATATAATAAAAATCATATATATATATATATACATCTCTATATAATAATATAATCTTACTGAATTACTGCGTTGGTACCATACCTTCGTATGGTGAGTGTATAAAACCGGAGACCCTTTTTTACATTTTTTACTAGAAACGACAGGGTGACAACGCATCTGCGTTTTGATTCTTAACAGAGGATAAAATGTAGATGTCTATGGGTCACAGCATCCACTTACCATCAGGTAGACTGTGTGCTCGTTTGTCACCCTTATTCTATTAAAAATAAATAAAAAAGCGTGGAATAAGAGCTTTTACTGCTTAGAAACCCAAGTATCTTTGAGAGAACTTTTTAAAGAAATTTATATCTCCACTTATATCTTCGCTTATTCTTTACATCACAATATATTTTTGCAAATATCATGTATGTACGACAAAACATTCAGTTACATGTAAAGAATAGTGATTTGTACAATTTTAATAGTAGAAATAAAAATAAAATCACATTACCTGCTTTCCGGTGACACATAGATCGTTCTTGGGTCGGTATGCGTTTTTATAACAAGATATCAAAAGAAATGTTAGATCTTTCACCTTTTCGATTTAATTTGTACATTAAAGCTTATTATTCTGTAAATGATTAACTTAATTACAAAAATGCTTGGAACTGACCTCTCGTACCCAGTACCCGAAAGACTGGGAGCGCAATACCAAGACCAAGACCAGGTGTATTAGCGCAAGACCAAGACCAAGACTGGCCAAGTCTCGTCTTGTTCTTGCATTTGGGCAACACTAATAGATTTGTGTAATTTTGCCATATTTGAAAATTAAATTAGAACAAGCGAGACGATATTGACTCAATTTATGATGAATTGTAGGATCTCTCTTAGCATAACTAGTATGCATGTAAATTTTTTAGTTAGGTCGGCGCAGTTCAATTTATTACGCAAAGGTTAAAACTAATTTTAGGCTTTATTTATCAAATTCAATATTTCGTTTTTAATACAATACCTACATCAATCACATAAAATAGAAATTAACATCTAAAGGAAGAAAAACACTTAACACTCCGTTTTCGAAGTTCCGTAATAGGATGGATAACATAGCCTATAGTTGCGCCGAGTCCCTAACTACTTACATACAAAATTTCACACTGAATTGGATTTTTACAAAATTGGAAATAAGTAGTTTTTGCGTTAATCGTAAATACACAGACAGACAGACAGATAGAAAATCTAAAAACCACTAATTTGGCTTCAGTGGCCTTTATTTAGTTCCCTGGACTTGTTTTTTCCAGAAAACGTTAGAATTACAGACATGACTTTTCTACAGATTTATTATATGTATAGATACTTTGATAGCTCGGAAAGGCTCAATTCAAGAGCGGATAAATATTGTACGACGTACTGGTGATAGTTTTGGTTATGAATGTTTAAATATTTGTTTATTAAGTCTGAAAGATGACTTGAGAGAAATTCTTACAGTGGGCGATGAAAATCATGAGCGAGTGTTGTTAAAAAAACACAAAATATAAGTTTTGATTGTTAGAGGTTTTGAAAACGGGTAAAACCGCGAAATATTGTACGTTTGTTATTTGTTTCTTGTTCTCAATTTAATTTTTCCTAAAGCATCAACGTTATTTGATTTACGAGATATTTTAGATATTTTACTGTATGGTGCGCTTGTGTTACTTTAGATAATATTATACGTGGTTATACAGGATTACTTTTACACAAAAGAATAAAACTACGTCGCAGTCTATGGTTATCTGCAATTATTTAATAATTTTAATTTTAGGTAATATCCCTCGTGTTGTTGTCATGAATGTAACAATGTGTTACAAAATGTACGTTACAGTCACGATCGATTGTTAAACTGAGGATACAGAAGGCTTTTTTCACTCGACTACCCACGAGGGAGGGTATGGGATGTATTCAAATGTATATAAAAGTATTAATAAACCATCACTAAAACTTTTTGCAATAAGAAAAGTAGATCGTGATGTTTTAACTGAAATTTCTATTGTAAAAATATTTAAATTGTTGAATTACCGTTTGATTCAAAAGAGATGATTATAAAATATGATGATTGTGCGCACCAAATTTATTTTTAAACAGTTTCGTTTTATTTTATTTGCTAAATTCATCAAATTTCTGCAAAGTGGCTTTAGTAATTTGGTAGCGTTTGCTAAGTTTGAGTGATAGATACAGAAACGGTGCTGACCATTCTTATCTCGGGATTAGAAAGGGATAACAAGATATTTGATCTGTTATGTTGAATATAGTTTGTGAGAAAGTTAGCAATTATTTTTTCTTTCCAATTCTTGTGTTCTATTTGCTATACAATTCTGATTAATGAACTATTATTACTCTTACTTCTATGCCATTATGATATAACCTAAGCCTTATATTGGCCATAATCAACGTAACATTCAATCATGTACGTAAACGTAACATGTGTTATGATGTCATGAATTTTACTGTATAATTTTAGCGGTCTTACCCAAATATCTATCACTTTACCATAATTTATTCTATTTTATTTCATTTTTATAGAAGGAAGCGTGACAATGGAGAAAATCACAAAACCTGAGTGATGTTAAGTTAATGCTATGACCCCTAGACACCAATATCTATTATTAATAAAGCACGAAAATGCAGATTCGTTGCCATCCTTAGTGACTAAGATAAAAGCCTCATTACCAATTAAGTATCTCCAGTTCCCTAAACCTACCAAATAACAAAATTATGCCATTTAACGCCGACATTTCATTAAATCGCAGGCGAACATAACTGCAACGTGACTACTATACTACCAAATATATTTTAGGTACGCTGGTAGACAAACTAGAGAGTGCAAAGGCACTAAGTAAGTGAGAGTAAAAGATGCACAAACTAACTTATCTACCAGTTTGTTTGTTTTTACAATGTACTCGTATATTTGTAGCGGACGTAATCACGCAGGGTTACATCGCATCGTCTTTACCACAGTTTTAAGAACATCTACATATTATTACGCTCCGTCGTAGTTTAACAGTAGGTTTAGAATGTATTAATGTTAAATTAATCAAAGTAAAATATTACTATATTTTTGTAAAGTCTAGAACAAAAAAAGTTTTATAACTTGGTGTTAGGCCTTGTTTTCTGTCTTAGTGTTCATCTGTGTAGGGAAACATTTTAACTTTTTAAATTTTAAACAAGTAACTGTGTGTAAATGCGTTATGATCTTGATGCGTTGCCAGTCTCGAGGACTGAGATGAAATGCCTCATTTCCAGTAAAATGGGTCTCCGGTTCTCTACACTCACCATACGAAACACAGCAGGCATATTTTACGCTGGTATTCTGTGTCCCCCGGTCGAGCCGACCCTTTCGTGCTGCAACCACAATATAGCTGCAGCATGACTCTACCACGTAATTTTTATTAATACAAATTTTCTCAACACATTAAGATATTTCAAATAGTAATTATAGTCATTCTAGAAACACTCAATTCTGGAAATAAAATTAACTACAAGTTATAAAGTTAAAAACTTTGTGCAAACAACTTCAATACACTTAAATAAAATGAGAATACCATAAATGTATTTAACTGGAAAGCTACTGGTCAGAACTTGATCCTTTTTATTTATAGACCACGTGCAAAGCAACAGTTTTCAAACAAAAAAAGAATCATCCTAATCAGTTCATCTAGAAAAAAGTTACATAAAAATACACTGAAATTGAGAACCACCTCTTTTTTGACGTCGGTTGAAAATACAAGATGATAAAAATTTGTTTTCATTATCATAACCACCAGTCTACAGCGTAAATAAAAAATCTTCTTGATCTTGCCTTCCCATTAAGTTGTCACACATACCTATCTAAGTATGAGGCTTGTAGACCTGTTTGTTATGGGTGTAACACGAATGAAGTCGGGAATAAATAGAATTGTGAGAAGCATAGACTCTTTTTATTTAAAAAGGTTCTTTGTACAGTTGTGCAATGTGTACTCATTTCTCACTGTTACTTGTAAAAAAGCGATACAAGAAGATAGCTAAAAATTTAAACTAACCCTAATTTAAGAATATTGATTTTAGGTAGATGAGCTGACCGTTGAATCCACTTTGTACAATTTTTTTTTGACAAACGAGCACACAGTCCACCTGTTGGTAAGTGGCTGCTGTGGCCCATAGACATCTATTGTACATCTATCCTCGATAACGAATCAAAATGCAGATGCGTTGTCACCCGTGAAGACTAAGATGGAATGCCTCATTTCCAGTAAAAAGGGTCTCCGGTTCTCTACACTCACCATACGAAACACAGCAGCATCAAGCTACCATTTCATGCCGGTATTCCATGAGAGCGTGGTCCTTCCCCGGTCGAGCCGACTCATTCGTGCGCTACAACTATACTACTAATATAACTGTAGCATGGCTCTACCACGTAAAAAATATCGTGTATCCCTAAAACAAAACTTATATCATAACTCTTTGCAGCAAGAAACAACGTCACTGGCTGAACGTATTCGGCTCCTCACATGCGATGTAGAAGATGAGCCTGAAGACCGCGCCTCGCCGGCTAGCATCAGTATTGACAAGTTCTCCAGTAGCAGTGATAAGTCGAGCGACAAGTCATTCAATATCATGGACAAAAATTGTGAGAAGGCTTTCGGAAGTGCATCTTCAAGTTCGTCTTCATCAACGTTATCAGCGCCAGTACCCATACGCCAACAACCGCCAGACTTGGGAGATGTTCATCAAGAACACCAAAAGGTACGCATGATCATTTAAACCTGTAGCATTATAAGTGCTCAAAAATAATACATTCTACCACTAACACTACTAAACTACTAAAACTAAGTAATACAAACTACGCAAATTTAAATACTGGCCTATTTGAATTGGAACCAGGAGGGTTGTTAGCTGAATGATTTATGAATGACTAATTGGCAGTTACTGAATCTATTGCGCCGGGTATTATATTGTGGCCATCGAACGGGAGCAAGCGATGGCTAATAAATGAATTCAAACGAGTTGATGTACAGAATTCATCGAAAGCTATCGATACTGTACGAAGTTGTTCGCTTTCATCTGTCGATTTCGCAGTTCACGTATCGGTAAGAAATCGTGTCGGTGCGTCAAAAGAAAATAGAGCGTACGGCACAAGCGCTGAATGAACGGATTTATTGCTGATTTCTCGTGCTTTTTTATAACCTTTTGGCAATATGTATGTTTCTTACCATACAATGACCTAAGTTCATTTATTAACCGCAAAAAGTTAGGATGATGTTGTGACCAGGATTAAGAAAGGAATGCTTCGGTGGTTTGTTCATGTAGAAAGAATGAATGAGGAAAGAGTGACAAAGCAAATTTATATGGCAGATGTAAACGGCCGAGTCGGGAAGGGACGCCCTAGGAAAAAGTTTATCGACCAAATTGGCAATATTTTGAAAATGGGCCACGTTAGAAGTACCCTTAACCGACGAGCATGTATGCGTAGATATATGGATGTAAAGGAGGCGAAAGAGGTATGTCAGGTTCGTGCCAAATGGAAGTCCGTAGTCTCTGCCTACCCCTCTGGGTGACAGGCGTGAGTGTTTATGTATTATGTATGTAAAAAGTTAGGACGAGACATATTTTTATAATTGAATTTTTTTATTATAATTATTTTTAAGTCCATCATTAGTTGCGTTTCACTATATTTATTACCTACATTGCTTTTATACTTATATTTATTTCATTCACAACGATGAATGCAGCGTCCAAAATCTATAAAAAATCTCCGTCTTTCAGGCGCTTTACTGTAGCTTTTTATTTTTATGAAAAAGCTTTTCCCTGAGAATTTCTCCTGTATTATAGAGGCATTTTTAGTAAACCTAGATTAAGAACTATTATTTCTAGGCCACTATAATAGCAGCTATATCAATAGCAGTATCGCAGTCAATTAATATTTTAGTGAACTACCGATATAAAATCGAAAACGATCTAGCGTGCGGTGATCATTGGCAAATTTTACTACTTGCCTTTGCATGAATTCGTTTTGTTGAGCTGTATCCGATGTTAGGTTGGAACCACTGTGCTTTATTTTTTGCCACTGCCTTATCGCTTGTACTAGAACCGTGGTGGCTTAGATGGTTAGCGCTCGCTGTAAATTTCACAGTACGCGAGCAAACCGGGTTCGATCCCCGTCGGCACCAATGAAATTGTTAATTGCAATTTTAAGTGCTGATTTACCACGTGCTCGGCGGTGAAGGACAACATCGTAGGAAAACCTGCATGTCAGAGAAATAAGGACAAAAATATTTCTAAGACATGTGAAGTTCGCCAACACGCATTGGCGCAGCGCGGCGGACAATTCCTTGTCCTAAAACCCACTCAGAAATGAGGGGAGGCCTGTGCTCAGCAGTGGGACACGTATATAGGATGTAACTTTTATCGCTTGTACTAGACGTTAAAACAACTTAGACTAGTGAAAAAGGTGTTAGTTTTTCAAAATAAATGCTAAATTGTATTCGCGGCTATATGCACTGCAACGTGTGTCATCTCACACCCTTTACCCGACATTGATGAGGTGCCGCGTTACCGCCGCATCGCACCGTGTCGCTTCGCTTTTACGTGGCTGAAATTAATGCAAATATGGTTGAACCGTTCGCTACACGAATATTGAAATACACGCTCCCTAAATATGCAAATCAGCTCTCCTACTACTAAAATTAAATTTGATATTCCGCCATTTAAAGCGTTTGTAAATTATTTCTATCGTACCGTGTAAATACAGTGTATTGCTATCGGTATTCGATATTATGTTTTCTTTACATTAAATTATAATAAGATTATTAAAATGTTTAAATAAATAAGTGTGTGTACTTTAAACTTTATTCTTAATGAATTTTCGATTCAAATATTTACCACTATGAACACGGCCCGGGTGTCTAATTTGTTTTTAAATTTTCATCAACGACCATTTATTTTTAGGTATTCAGAAAAAAAAACCTCCTAATTCCTCGGTTAAAATATACTAGACTGCCTGTCCGGTCTAGTCTGCGGAATGACTGAATTATTTATTTTAATTGATTAAACACGTTGTTTAACAGTAATGTGATAAGACCTATTATAGATCTTCAATTTTTATTTTAAACATATACACTAGTTACAAGTTATTTATCTAGACAATGACATAAAATTGGATTTTTTTTCTCCATACAAATTCAAACACACTGTTTTGATAAATCACAAATTATGTTATTATTATTTGTACAGAATACTTTAGTAAGCTTCAAAAGTTTCATACAAACCAGCATAGCATAAGCATAAACACTCACGCCTGTCACCCAGAGGGGTAGGCAGAGACCACGGACTTCCATTTGACACGATCCTGACATCCCTCTTTCGCCTCCTTTACATCCATATATCTACGCATACATGCTCGTCGGTTAAGGGTACTTTTAACGTGGCCCATTTTCAAAATATCGCCAATTTGGTCGATAAACTTTTTTCTAGGGCGTCCCTTCCCTACTCTGCCGTTCACATCTGCCATATAAATTTGTTTTGTCACTCTTTCCTCATTCATTCTTTCTACATGACCAATGGTTTTTTTTTACAGTCCGTTCGCTTAGATACGGTCGAATTCGTGTCGCGCTGCCTTGGCACGTGCTGACTCTTGTCAAAGGCGCCACCATGACATGAAAAATCGCCGTGTGCGGCGTACACCCGCATAATAATATGGCATATTAAAATTAAGGGCCTTAGCAAAACGTCATTTGCTACCCAACTTGTGTTTATTATTTATATTCTTATTTTATTACAAGATCCATAAGAATAGTATTCTATTTTATTCTTTATTTAACAAATATAATAACATATAAAAAAATTAAAGCAAAATAATCAGTGCGCCGCCCGGTGTACCACCAACACTATCATCGTGATCAGACTATAATTAGCATTTGTTTATTATAATATCCAACCGCAAACTGCAAACCCCACAAAATGCCCCAAAGATGGCCTCAAAACACGGTCATGATGGTTTTGAGCTACCAGTATATCATATGCATGTATGTATCATGTATGTGCATACCCTTTTATAGCATTAATAAGTCCTGTTGAGCTGAACTGAGTCCTGTTGAGTCCTCTGTTTTTCTTGGAATCACTCTCGACGCTAAGCTTCAGTGGGTCCCCCCTATATCTAAACTAGCAAGGAGACTGAGCTCTGCAGCTTATGCTGTAAAAAAGATTAGAGAGAGATCTCAATAGTGTCGAGAGAGCTAGATTTAGATTTGGAATTTATTTCAGTTATATCCATAGCATAATGTCATATGGAATTTTGCTATGGCGGAATTCGGCTGATTTAGAAACTATTTTTGTTTTGCAGAAGAGAGCCATTAGAGCTATTTACAACCATAAACCGAGAGAGTCTCTTAGAGAAAAATTTAAAGAAATAAATATATTAACTGTGGCCTCTCAATATATCTATGAAAATTTGATTTATGTTCACAAAAATAAAGGTAATTTTAGTAAAAAAAGTGACATACACTCTGTAAACACTAGGAACAAACACAAGCTGGTGCTACCAGTTTCTCGACTCCACAGAGTCAGTAATTCATTCTTGGGGCAATGTATACGCTATTACAACAAAGTCCCAGAAAATATTCAAGATCTCTCTATTACCAAGTTTAAATATTTAATTAAACAAAAACTGCATAAACAGTGTTATTATGACATAAATGAATACATGATTGATAATAACCCCTGGGAATGAGGTTGTCGCTTCCAAGCTGTTTCTAAAATAAATTTGTAAATATTCTGTGACCCTTGAAATTGTAAAATTTATTTAAAAAAAGTCCCGCTGGATTTCTTGCTGGTTCATCTCAGGACAGAGGTTTTTTTTCGAACCAGTGGTAACTGGTAACGTAAAATACTGACTTTCAATAAGAATTACTTGTAATCCTACAATGAATAAAAAAATTCTATTCTATTCTATATTTAATGACTAGCGATCCGCCCTGGTTTCGCCTAGGCAGGATCTATTAATATAGAATTATTGAGATTTAAGATAATCAAAGACTATTAATTTTTCAGGTTTAGTTTTTTAATCAAAAAATCTTTAAATCTCTCCTAGCTTTGCGCTCTATCGGTTTACCAAGTTTCACTTCGTCTTTTCGGTTCAGCCATTCCGAAGATTAGGATTAGGATTAGGATAGTGACAGACAGACAGACAAAAAGTTTAACAAAAGTTATTCATATTTTAATGGTATGGAAATAACCCCCTCAACTCAATACAAGGAAACTAGTAATATAAATTATTAATTACAGTATATAGACAAATACGAAATAAATAAACGTACGTCATTGTGATTTAGAATGCCTTTTTTAATTCCTTTCCGGTTATTATTACCACCCATTTAAAATGTTTACGTTGGTCAGCTAGTTTTCTTTCATAATTCATAAAACTATTTAACTTTTAAACCGATGTAGGTACTAGTGCAGTCAGACGTAAAGGCGACATTATGATGTATGCAGGAAAAACCATTGATGCATGGGCATCTTTACCGTAATTTGCATAGATAAGTGTATTAAAATGAGCACAGTGCTTTTTATCAGTCTTTGTGATGTTCAGTGAATGGTTAAAATCTGAAGACTACAAGACTCCTATTGATGTATAGAATAAGGTTTTGAAAATTTTATTTTTCAAAAAATTCTTACACTAAGGCATTAATTTTAGATCTTTAAACTTCTAGTCAAAGTTATCGTACCGGCAAACATTCCTATTATTTAGT